GGGGGGGGGGGAGCCTCCTCCCCATCCTACTAATATTTTAGTCTAATTTAGCCCCATCTCAAATAATCTACTGCAGCCTCGGTAACTTCCCTATTGCATGTAATGTTTCTTCTCTATGGAAGACTCTTCATCACCACCTTTCCTTAACTGATTGACAACCCTTCAAGTCCCAGCCCTCCTGATCCTTCTATGTATGTCCACAGAAATCTACTTTTGTCCTTGAGGCAACACTTTTTGCACTAAAATTTCCTATTAATGGTTCTAACTCCCATACTTGGCTATAAATTCCATAAAGACAGAAGAGTTGTCATATTCCCAGCATCACCAGTACCTCAGCTCTGTGCCTGACACATAATATCCATTAAATATTTAATTGAGAATAAATGTCCTCATCATCTACTTTAAAAAAAAAACCTCAGGTATGCAAGGCTGTTCAACACTCAAAAATAAATTAACATTAACAGTTTAAAACCAAAAAATCAAATGATCATATCACTAGATACAGAAAAAGCATTTGACAAAATCCAACACCCATTCATGATTAAAATCTCTCAGTAAACTAGGAATAAGGGAAAGTTCCTCATCTTCATAAAGAGTATCTACAAAAAAACCTACAGTTAACATCATACTTAAAGGTAAGAATCTAGAAGTTCTCCCATTAAGATTAAGTACAAAGCAAGGATGTCCTATTTCACCATTCCTTTTCAACTTTGGAAGTTCTGGCTATTGCAATAGACAAGAAATAAAAGGTACTCAGACTGGAAAGGGGGAAATAAGACTTATTTTGTTTACAAATGATAAAACTGTCTATGCAGAAAGTCTAAAAGAAATGATCAAAAACACTTCATAGGACTAATAAGTGATTACAGCAAGGTTGCAGGATACAAGGGTAATAACTTATAAAAGTGAGTCACTTTCCTATATACCAGAAATGAAAAAGTGAATGTTTACATGTTGGAGATTAATAAAATTCAAGTGTGACAATGAACCTTTCAATTTTGGACTGGGTTCTTGTTCTTCCATTTTCCCGTGTTTTATCATCTTCTTTCTTGGGTGGGATTATTGTTGGCTCCAAACCAAATAATTCTTGAAGACGTCCATAAAGATCCGAACGATTGTAGACATGAAATTCAAAGTCATTGACTGTGATATATAACCTGGTTTCTGCCTTTGGATCTAAAGACACAATTACATACACATAGACACAAAAGTTCTTGGTCAACTTTTTAAAAACTTTAAAGTTTTTTCAAATCTTTTTTTCACAGCTAAAGTAACTTAAATGATTTATTTTAAAACAGAATTCTATGATAAAGAGAATCATATTTAAAATACATATAAAACACTGACAAAAAAAGGGAAAAAAGCTGATGTTACTATAGCTTTTTAATTTAGCATTCCAAAAACAGCCTAAATTTCTAGATTCTGGTTGTCTAATGCCAGAATTTAAGAATAGAAAAGTGCCATTTACAGAGTAAAAGTAAAACTTTACCCTAATATAGCCATAAATTTATACTAAAATATTAGTAAAATGTTCAAAGTATAATGCATTTAGACAACACATCAGTATTTAAACTTTTGCTTCATGGAAAGTAGGATTTTTTATAAAATACTAGTTTGTTTTTAAAAACTACCCAATACTAAAACAAAGATTTTATTTAGACTTCAAACAATTTCAAATAAAAAACATAATTATATTAAATGTAAGTAACAATAGTAATTCACAAATCCATCTATAAAGTGATAGATGGGCACTTGTTTTTGCTGAGGAAATAATCCAAGACAGAGCATCCCGTGTTAACCAAGAGGCTCAACAGAAAGGTACCACAGTCAGTGCCTTCTCTTGTTATAAATAGTACATGTGTTTTTTGAGACTTCTTTTTAAACCTTTGTCCATTTTTATCCCTACAGAACAAGTTCAATGTAAGGCAATTAAAATTAGACATGACCAGTTAGAACAGTTTAATTTTTAAAACTGGGTAAAGAGAATTGTTATTAACTTTCATTTTAGTACCTTAAGCTGTGGTTTAAATATGATGTATATATCTGTAATAAGGTACCAAATTTCACCAAAATTAATTTCTTCTCAAGTTATTAGCAAAAAAGCATATGAAATGTCAAAAACCCTAAATAAATATAAATTTAAATTTAAATTACTAAATGGAAAATACACTGCCACTCATATTTCAAAAGTAAACTAAGAAAAAATCAATCAACATCATTCAATTTTTCACAGTTATACTTTCAGTTCTATTCCAATCCTGGTTTTTTCCCTAATTACCTCCTAAGATAACTGATTTGGGGGGGAGGGGCGACAATCCTTCAAAAAACTAATGTTTGGGAGCTCTAACCTTTCTGGTATTCTTAAAATACCTATGTTCCCTCCTATTTCTTCAGATTTCTCATATGACTAAAAGCTAAGACAATCTCCTACACTATCATACCAAGAGTTTTGCCCCTTTTTCTTGCTGTAGATCAAATTCTTTAAAATAAAAAGAACAGGAAACACACCAGTTTTTTAATTCATGGGATGGATACATATGTATTCTAAGACTTGACGGTGATAAATATCATTATCCATTTTTAAATGAGAAAAATCAAACTCTAGCCCTCATTAGGTTTAAGCCTTTCCTCAGTAATCATTCACAACCTCTCTCCAAAATGCCAGAGTCAGATGTCCAGCAGCGTACTCAGACATCTCCAATGTAGCGTCTTAACAGGCATCTCACACGTGACACATCAACCAAACACCTGATTTCCCCCCAAACCTATTCCCTTACTAAGCCTGTGCTTTACACGCTGGCCACACCCTCCAAAGCCTAGCTATTCAAGAGAGTAAAGACAAGGTCTACTCTCCTTGAAACCCCTGGTCTGGTTAATACTGAGTAGGAGGGTCAGGGCCACAGACCAGAGTACTAACAGAGCTATGAAATAACTGGGGAGAAAATTCTGAGACGGTAAAATTCTGATGATAAAAGCAGAACCAGAAGAAATTCTAGAGTCTGCGTTTCCCATTTTCTGTCATCCTTATCATACCAGATAAATGAGAATTAGTAGCAATGTCAAGTATAAGTATGAGTAAAGGCACCGAAGCTAATACACAGAAAAGTGTCTTAGTAGAATGATTAAAGGGTGCTGAGAAGGCCATTTACCCCCAGTATGGGTCAGGCTCGCAGATGTAACACGTGATAAGGCTAGACATGTGGGTAAGGGTCATCTGAGGATGACCCTGAAAAATAATCAGCTAAAGTAAACCAATTTAACAGGCAAGAGGAAAGCTGGTCAAGGATTTCAGCCAACTGATGATAAAATCAGAGTTTTACCAAGTCTAAAGCTTTTAAAAATATTTTTATCTATTATAATACCCATAAATGAAAACTGATTGTATGATTAACAATTTCAAACACATGAAGGAAATGAAAACTCACCATGCTGCTTCTGCTTTGGGTTATACATTTTCCACCACCGAAAAATTATAAATCCATCTTGAATTCTATGCAAGATAAATTACAAAAATGAAAACTTAAGAATTTACTTAACTTGATTATTGATTAGTTATTATAAAAGGCAGACAATTGATAATGAATAAGGAAACAAAAAATTCTCAACAGAACACGTGCATACCTAAATGTTTCATACTCTCCCAGTTAAAAAGGAAAAGGGGACTTGCACAGGTCTAAATTAGATTCTCCTATTCAGATAAAACATGATACTGGATTACATTCAACAGGAAAATGAAGTGCTAACAGAAAACCTTTCCTTTTATAAATATTTTTTAATGGTATAAAAACTACATAAACAAAAAGCCAAATCTGGAAAGGGGGACATTAGCACACTAGGGGGAACTTTTAAAGATATTCCTTCATTCCTGTAATGATGTATCACCTCATGCCCAAAAGGCTGAACATATAGCATCTTACCTTTTACTTTTAATTTGGAAATAATTTTAGACTCACAAAGAAGTTGCCTCCACTGTTTTAAGAGAAGTGTAAGTTTTGCCAAATCCTAGCATCTCTCAAATAATTCAAAAATTTCCAAGTTCTATCTAAGTAATACACTTTAAGAGGGTCACAAAAATAGAGTAAGCTTTTCTTTCAAAGCTTACAGAAGAGAGAACATATCAAACATTATCATTTATTATATTCAGATTTATGTTTCCTTCTTAAAGTAAAATTAGAGTTGTTAACAGATGCTAAACAATTCTAAAAACTAATAAGGATCTAATGGGTGAGAGTTATCAGCATCTGTGATCCTTATATTATATAACAAATGAACACCATGAATGCTACAACAGAAATGATCAGGTAATTTAATGGCTCAATTTTTCATCCTGGAATGAAATGAGATTATTGCTTTCTATATGCTGCTATTCGGTAAACTTTTTGCCAGTCTAAACCTTAGCTAAATTAATCCACTGATAGAAACATTTTAAAACATTAATTCACTAGGTTTGATTTACTGAAAAAATGATTTCTGATCTATGGTTTTATTTGAAGAACCAAGTAATACTAAATAAAGTAACATAGTTAGAAAATTGTTTCAATATTTCAAGTTTAAGATAGGTTCTTTTATTTGTTTTTGTTTTTAGTTTTTACCTAATAGACATGTCTTCTGTAATGTAATAGATTTCACGAACCATGACTTTTCCAGAAAGAACAGAGAAAGAGAAGGAGCCTGTTATAGGAAAAAAAAAAAACAAAAAACAGCAATTAGTTTGTTTTGATAGATAATAGAGCCCTTAACACTTAAAAATAATCTTAGCATTCAATTTATTCAATAATTAAATGTTCTCTCCTGACTCCCTTCCTGATATCCTTATAGCCTTACTAATTTCTATCATTTTTTCTGAAAAAGAGCCACAAGTATCATCACTATGGACTGAGCTACTAAATAACCATATGAGAATATTAGTTTTAATAGTTGCTTCATATGACTAATTCCCTTAATTATGCACAACTATTAAATAAATCCAAAGCAGTGATTAATTCACCATTTTTCTCCATTATTCCAAGAACCAGTCACTGCATCAAATTAATGGAAGACTATTTATGTTTGAGAAGTTCATGTCCACTAAGAGGCATTCAACTCCAGGGAAGGTTAGAATGGTTCTATTCAATGTCCCCCTCCCCCTTTCTCACTGGTTTAGGACTTTCCAGAATGTATAACTTCCTAATACACCCTCCTACCTATAGGCAAACCTCCCACTTATAAGTAGTCAGAACTACATTAATAAAGCAGGCCACAAAATAAAATACACAAGATGATTCCAACTTACAGATCTTTAAAGTACGGGTTACTTTAAGAAAAAAAACAAAACAGCAAATACTTCACTGAGCATTAGAAACTTTCTCTGGATGGTGAAATCAAGAAAAAATTTCTATTTCCATATTTTATATCTATATTTTTCAAATTATTTTCATGAGCATCTTTTATAAACAAAAAAATCAAAAGTAACTATGGAAACACTTTAAGAAATAAGAATGATGGAGAAACAAAATTAAAATTTCTGCTTTAATTTGAAAATTTATGCTTAACTACTCAATTAGAATGTTGTACACCTGATCAGAGCACATTCAGTATGGCAGCCACTGATTGTCATTTATAGCCCAGTTTTTTTGTCTTAATCAGAAAATGTTTAGGAATCTATGAAACTTAACTTCAGGATCAAAGCGTTCAGCAGGGTTGATTGATACTATTTTTACACTGTTCTGGCAGTCAGAACGAAGAAAAGAAGAAAGAATGAGGTAAAGGGCATAAACTGTCACAGAGTGCTGCATGAGAGAAATCCCTTCATGAAACAAAGATAAATTTCTAAAGCTACTACCTGTTTATAAGACATAACTTTATAATATACAATTCAAGATTACACAGAAGAAAAAAAGCTGGGTCACTCAAACTCACCAATATGGATATAGCCATGTTTGTATAATCTGTTGAGAACCAATGTTAAAATAAGACCAACATTCCGAGAATTATAATATGTGAGATAAATAATCCAACCACAGGATAAAATGGTAGCTGTTGGGGGAAAAAAAAGCAAAAGGATGTCACTTTCAATCACCTTAATATTTTAGTAAGTAAAAGATGATTTTGTTAGTAAATGGTCTAAAAAAAAAACTGTTAGGGCTCAGCCGGGCGTGGCTCAGTGGTTGAGCATCGACCTATGATCCAGGAGATCATGGTTCGATTCCCAGTCAGGGCACATGCCCGGGTTTTGGGCTCAATGCCCAGTGGGGGGCGTGCAGGAGGCAGCCTATCAATGACGGTCATCACTGATGTTTCTATCTCTCTCTTCCTCTCCCTTCCTTTCTCTGAAATAAATAAAAATATGTTTAAAAAAAAAGAAAAGAAAGAAAATTAATGATTTTTTTAAATCAATAAACTCTGCTTTTAAAAAAGTAATGGAAATAAGTAGGAATTTAGCCCACTTAATGGCATATTTATATAAAATAGAATATCTCATACTACTTTGCTATAATCGATAAGACAATAACCTTTTAAGAATGCCTACTTTTACTGAATAAGCTACCATAAATGATATTGCAAATTGACCATTTGTCATAAAATTTATAGTCACTTATAAAATTTATAATATTCCAAAAAAAAACTAGCTTATGAATATACAAAAGATAAAACACAAGAAAGCATTTTCTGATAATAAATTTTTAACTTATCCATTTAAAAACTATAATTATTTTCTAAATTAGGACAAAATAATGTAAAGCAATGTAACATGTGCAACCTTTTAGCAACATCAAATTAAGTTTTTAAAAAAATCATTTAATAAAGATAAAACAAGGCAGTCACTTATACAATATTTCATAGGGTAGCTTAGATTGATGGTAATAGCTATCACGTAGCAAGTACTATGATGTGTCCATAAAAATTATTTCTAGAATAATTCTTTTGAAAAATTATTTTGATGATATATCATTATTCTTACTTACTGTAAATCACTGTGTCAACAGCAGGTTGTTGTGGGCCAATCAGAAAAGCATAAGGTATTTGCTAAGATAGTATGCTTCTAGTGTTAAACAACCTAGGAACTGTGGCCTTTTCATTGTGTCATGCCCCCACTTCCTTCAATTATCATAGGCCACTAGTAAAATAGCAAGATTAAACAATCACTCAATGTTTTTCTGGTTGTTGCTGCTGTTTTTTCCTTAAAGGAGTTGTAAACAACAGAAAAAAGAAACTCTGGGTAATAGAAGGGACAGATAGGAAATAAGGAATGTTTCTGCCCTTGATTAAACTAAAAGATAATTTTCAATGCTGCTTTTATGAAGTCCTATTTCATACTGTTTTGCATTTCATTTTACTTTTGTATTGGCTTTCATTAATAATAATTTATAATAGTTTACATTTATCCATTAGAAAAATAGAACTCGAAGTTTAACTGGTAATCCAATCCTACAATTAATGAGATTATAATTCCTTCTAAATACACTTCCCCTCTACCTGAGTCCCTACCACCTTTCCTGTGGTATCATGAAAGAAGTATAAGCACACGCTCAGCCGTGTAATCTGATCATTTGATCCTTACGGGCCTCAATTCCCCAACATGTTTAAAGGAAAAGAATAACGCCTACCTTCATAAGTTTGCTCTAAGCATTCAGTGGGAAGCCACATGCTCAGTAAGTATCACTAGCCTCCTTTTCCTCTCTTACCCCATCTAACTCTTCCTATTTGCTTCTCCATATTTTAATTTCTACCCCAAAATTCAAATCAAATAATGTTCTTCCGCAAACACTTCCTGGGTATTAGCTACAGGAATCTCTTCCTTCCTAGATATTATTGTTAGTATTTCTCTCTTTCATTTGATCATATACATTTATTCACTCATATTCCATCAGTCTCTCTGCCATTTAGTTATACACTCTTTTGTATTATTTGTATGCACCTAGAAAACTTTTGAAATATTAGACAAAAAAAGTTATTACTAGAGCCCACTGCCAAGTGGGTAAGGAGTGAGGAAAGAGATGAGGTTAAATAGGCACATATACATTCTATTTTACCTTAAGGATTTATCACTTTTATAACAAAGCAAACAAAAGTGTGTGTGTGTGTGTGTGTGTAAAAGCAAACAAAGTGTGTGTGTGTGTGTAAAAGCAAACAAAGTGTGTGTGTGTGGATAGGGATAGGGATAGGGATAGGGATAGGGATAGGGATAGGGATAGGGATAGGGATAGGGATAGGGATAGGGATAGGGATAGGGATAGGGATAGGGATAGGGATAGGGATAGGGATAGGGATAGGGATAGGGATAGGGATAGGGATAGGAAGTGGGCCTGAAAACAGGAAGAGAAGGTAACTACAATGTCTCTCCTCCCCCTCCCCTGAGTTGGACAGGGAGGCAGCCTAAGAAAAGTTTTCCAGAGCAGCTCCTAGAGCAAATTCATAGAAACATAAATTAAATCTTCTTTCCAAAACATAGACAAATGGCATTTAAGCATTCCAACCTCAGCCAACCACTGCTCAAAATTTGGCAGTTGTTATTCCATCCATAAAAAGCAGTAATATATAAGAAAATACATTCTACGTACCAACGAGGAGCCACACAACATTGGAATTGTGTTCTGTAAGAAAATCTTCTAATTGTGTGATACTAGGAACAATACTCTCGTTCTTCCTTTGATCCATTACTAAAGTTTTTCCAGGGCAGCATCTAAAGGTCTAAAAGAGTTCAAAGGTTAAATTTAGAATCAGAGATTTATTAATCTGCAAGGAAAATCATGTAAGGGGAAAAAAGGTGAATTTAATAAATATGGAAGTTTATTAAATCACACTCTTGTTCCTTCAATGATAAGAATGCAAAATTACAGAAAGAGGAAGGGGGAGAGACAGAGAGAGAAAAACATCAATGATGAGAGAGTCATTGATCGGCTGCCTCCTGCACACACCCCCTGGGGATCGAGCCCGCAACCCGGGCATGTGCCCTGACTGGGAATCGAACCTCTGTCTCCAGAACCCTAGGTCGATGCTCAACCTCTGAGTCACACCCGGCAGGGCAAATCATGTTTTTAATGTCCTGATTTCACCATTCTAAGTATGAGTAGAGACTCAGGGTCAGTTACTCTGGATCCAAATAAAAAGGACATCATTATTCTGAAATATATGCAAAAATATTTATCTCAACAATAAGAAGGGAGTTAAGTATGGTAAAAATTAATGAAGGGAAACCTCATTTAAAATGGAGTACAGAGGCCAGAATGGGGAGCCCTCACACACTACCACTCAACATCAGGATACAAGGCCTAAAATTCCACCATCCATTCCTTTAAATAAAGCATTAGACACTATTCCCAATTAAAATACAAAGATAACTTTAGAGTAAGTCAATAATAGCTACCATTAATTATTACCATGTGTTATTAGTATAAACTAATTCATTACATGACTTTTGCTTTAACAACCAGACCAAGGAGTATCATAAAAGCCCCACTACAAAAATGGTTCTTCATGTTATATATGGAAGAATGTTTTACATCTAAGAAGTATCACCTGACAAAAATGTTGCACTATAGCAAACCTCACTTTCCCCAACACATCTTCAAACTAGCCACCCAACAAAATAGGGTCTTTGGATGTGGGGAGAGAGGGAGGAAAAAACTGGTCACATGTGTTCACCAACACTCTCCTCATATCAAGTTCAAAGAAAGTATTTTTTATTAGAATGTTGCTATGCAAAGAGTTCAACAGATTCATTTAATAGCCAATTCCTATGAGCTGAAAATATTGCTCCAATTGAAACTGAACTTTTATGTAAAAAAAAATTTTTAAAGGCTACTTCAGGAATATGACATATACTACTACTGGTGACATCTGACACAGTGCTTTAAATGGATATGGAGCTAGATAGAAACATGCTTCACAGCCCGGCTGGGTGTGGCTCAGCAGTTGAGCATCGACCTAGGATCTGGGAGATAGGGGTTCGATTCCCGGTCAGGGCACTTGCCCAGGTTGTGGGCTGCAGCTGATCAATGACTCTCTCATCATTGATGTTTCTATCTCTCTCTCTCCCCCTCCTTTCCTCTCTCTGAAATCAATAAAGATATATTTTAAAAAAAAAAAGAAAAAAGAAACATGCTTCACAAAGGACAAATAAGGTGGAGAGTTTAAAGTCTAGACTCTAAACATTTTGGTCGATGTTATCTTACTCTTTGAAATGTTAATTATATGGAATCAGCTCACCATGAAAATAGAGCTCCCATAGCAATGTCTAACATTTATTAACTGCTTACTATGTGAACAGGCACTGTTCCAAACACTGTACATGTATTTACTCATCAAACCATCACAAATAACTATCCATTTACAATTCCCCATTTTACAGATGAGAAAACTGTGGCAGAAGCTAAGTACAAACACAGCTAAGGGCCCACCTGGGATCATAACCTAGACTGTCTGGCTTCAGAGTCTATGTGTTCTATTACCTCTTATCATCACTTATGTTCACTGAGATCGGTAACAATCTCTTGGTTTTCCATTTCTTTTCTATGAAAAATGAGTTCCTTCCTCTGGAGTTCTAGACTCTAGTTTAGGAGCTAATACAAATGTTACCAAAATTTATACTTTGGTATAAGAAGGAATTCATATTTTGCCCACTATGGCACTTTTCCTTCTAAAGGGGTCATCCATTAAATCAAAGATCAGCAGTCATTTTTGTTTTAAATAACCACAGCAGTAACACAGCAAGTTATGGAGTCTGATTAGCAGCAAAGAAGGCCACACTGTGAAGTGAACCAAATCCAACTGAACCCTCATCACTTTTCTGCACCTTCCTCTTACCTGGTCATAAAGGCTATATCTACATATTTTTAAAGAACTTTGTTCCCTAAGTAAATTGACTATTGATAGAAGGTATGTGGTAGTTTTAAAATATGTCCAAAATTCTTTGATCTTCCTCCCTTCAAGAGGTGGAGTAATTAATTTCCCTCCCAAATGTGGTCTGGACTTAATGATACAATTCTAAAAGAGTATGGCAGAAACAATGGTGTGTGACTAGGTCACAGATGGCATCACGGCCTCCTCCTTGCTCTCTCTCTAGGATTATCTGTTCTGAGGAAATCAGCTCCCTTGTTAGGACACGTAAGAAGCCCTAGAGAGGCCCACGTGGTACAGATTTGAGGCCTCCAGCCAACAGCCATGTGAGTGAACCATCATGGAGGCAATTCCTCCAGCCCAACTGAGTCCCCAGATAACTGGGGTCCCAGCCAAGATCTTGGCTATAACCTCTTAGACCCTAAACCAGAAGTAATCAGCTTAGCAACCCAAGTTCTGATATAATTAATGTTTTAAGCCACCGAGTTTTGGGATAATTTGTTACTCAGCAACAGATAACTAATACAAAGTATAAGAAAGGTAATTTTGTAAGATATCTGCAAAGTATCTCTACCCAGATGGTTCATAACTGTCATCTTAAGCTAAACTACCCTCACTCTCCTCTCCTCCTTCTTACGAAAAGATCAGGAGTCAGCAAGCCCACCCCAAAAAGGCTACCAATCCCATGAGCAAACCATTTCCTATTCCTACCATAAGTGGGAGTCTCCTGCATGGACTCTAAAGCAATCTCTACTCTGCCTTCTACCAATTTATCTGTGTCCATAATCATCACCACCTCCCTACTTCCTGTCTTGGCAGAAGTCGATCTAAGGTAACTCTGACTTGCATCCCTTCCAGCTTGGTCAGTAATCAGCTTTACCAATTATTCTTCCTCATTCTGCTATCTTCATATTTTCTTCCTGATGGCTTTTATTCTCAGCAAGTATTGTAAATGTATTCATATCACTCATACCTTTAAAAAACAAAAGCTCTCTCTCAAATACATCTCTTTAGCTACCCTCTCTCTATTCTACTTAAAACCAAATTTGCTGAAAGAGTAAATGGCATTAGGTATTTCAATGTCCTCATCATTTACCCAGTGTGAACTGGCTCCACCTGTATAACTGCTCTTGCTCAGGTCAACAACTTCTTAACTGATATGTCCAATGGATACTTCTGCTGTCCTCATTTTATTTGATGTCTCAAAGATGTCTAATATTCATTCCTTTCCTCCAAACTCAGTTCTTCCATTGACTTATGTGATTCTCCTGATTTCCTACTTCCCTGCCCACCCCATCTCCTTTGAGGTGTGTTTTTCTTCCACCTGACCCTTAAGTATTAGTGTACCCAATCCTCACTTCTATTACTCCACATGTTCTCCCTGGGCGATCTCGTCCATTTGCACTGTGTTTAACTATCACCTATAAACTGAGACTCCACAATTTATACCTCAGATAGGTCTTCCTAACTCAGATCCATATACACAACTGCCTAATGACATTTCTTGGTGGAAACTACAGAGGCCCAAATACAATAGCTCCCAAATGAACTTATCTGCTCCAACCAAGTTCTCAATCTATTGCTCTTCCTATTCTCCCTCAGAAATGGCTCCAGAATCCACTCAGTTTCCCAAGCCAGACATCAGGTAATCCATTCCATTTACCCTGCAAGTACTTATTAAATATTATGTGCTTGAACATGACAGTGACTAGGAAGTACCCTGACTCCACTTTTCCTCAAGCCCACTAAATCCTACCCATTCTATCTCCTTTGCATCTGTCTAGTCATCTCCATCCCCTAATTCCCATTTGCCCTGCTTTACTTCTGGTTCTCATTTGCCACCTGGTTTTATTACACAGATTTCATTTGATCGCTATGCTTTCAAGTTCATCTCTCTCCAGTTCATCATCCAGACTGCCTATCTGACCATGTCACTTCTATTTGTCACATGTAAAGTCCCTGAAATTTCCTCAAATTAAAGAGTTAATTTTCTTAACCTCCCATGAAATTTTGAAATTCTATCAGTCTTTAACATGAAAAACAGTATGCTAATATGAAGTGTGCAAGAATCCTAGTTTCCCTAATAGAGTACCTTCCTTTATTAATTAAAATTATATGAAAGATTTATTATAAATACAAACATCTACCATATGGCTACACAGTGCTGCTTTCCCAGTCTTTTACATAAACCAAAAACATCCTTGCATATAAAATCAAGAAAATGTATGGGTTCACAAAAATATTACCTTCTAGAAAAAAATTCCCTACTCTAGCACTCTTCCGGGCATGAAAACCACTACTCTATTATTAGAAGTCTGAAATAATGCATGACATATGGTACTGTTTAAATATTCTTCAAATGAATTAAATGTTTCTTAATCATGTTTAACCATATCTTCTACTATTCTCCATAGAACTCATAGTAAGAAATATACTTGAGTTCAACCACACACACTATTCTATGAAGAACAAACCAAAAGTCAACTAATTTTCATTTCTTTTTAAAACCCTTTATAACACAGGCAGATTAATGTGCTCACAAAAGAGAGAAAAGAATAGCGACACTCGATAGAGAATCAAGACAAAGCTTTCCGTGGCCTTATTCTTCCAATACACAAGCTCAGCACATGACTCAACTGTCAGTCAGGTATCAGTAGTTCCAAAGTCAAGTAACATGATTGGCAGGTCAAGTTATACACCACCACCACCCAACCCTCACTCCTCGACCACTGAAGCAGATCAAAACACAACTGAAACAGAAAGTCCAAAGCTTTCCTCTACCTGAGCTTTAATTGGAAATTACATTTTTTTCTGACTTAGCCAAAATATTTACCCATTTTTATTCCCAGCGTCTTCAATGTTGTTTTCCCTTCTCCTTATCTTCAGAAAGCCCATCTGAAGTGTTTCATCTTAACAAACCTGGAAAAAAAAAACAGCATTTCAACCAATTATACAAGATATTCTGGCTTTACCAGCATTTTTACCAACTCAGATTAAATGATTTGATTATACCTGCGTGAAAGTCTTTAATGTTAGTTCAATTCTACATTTCATTCTTTAAAGTTTCCAAACAAGAAATACTCCTAAATCTAGAATCCAAACTATGGCCTACCAACCATTTGAAAATTACTTACTGTACTTATGGAAAGAGTATGATTTTGGTAGAGGGTTCTAGAGGTCAAATCCTACCTTTAAAACATTCTCAAAGTGTGGCCTTGAAAAAGTTCTCAAACTGCTGGCAAGAACAGCTCCTCAGCTTCCTTCCTATTCCCAGCACCTAGCACACTCCTTATCATATGAAAATCACCCTGAAAATCATACTAATTAAGGGGCTGTAACCTGGAGCCAGATCACTTGGTTTAAATCACAGCTCTGACTTTGGACAAGTTGTTTCTTAGGGCTGTGGGCTTTAGTTCTCTCATCAGTAAAATGAGAATAATAGGCCTTACATGATAACATTGTTATGATGATTACATGAGATAATATACGCACATAATGTACCACTCACTGGTTTTATAAGATACATATCCTAGTAAATTCATCTGTTTTTATACTTTATATGTCTACTTAACTTAGAATAAATCAACTTTATTGCCGTAAACGGAGTGAAAGCAGCAACAGGAAACCAGCTGAAACTTACACACTTGGACAGTTCCAATACCATGATTTCCTTACAAGGGAAATTTACAAGAACTCTTTCCCTTTAACCAGCGTCCCTATCTTTCTACAGTCAAAACTAAGACCAGTGCAGTGGTGGGTGGGAGACAGCTAATAACTCTGAAGAGGAAAATCTACTTCCTTTCACCTCCCTTTGACCAAGATAATGTTTCCGCTGAAATGTGTACTCTCCCATAGTGCAGACTCAGCAAGCACCAATTCAGAATACATAACACACCATGCCTGGGGAGCAAAGGGGGGTTCTAATGCTCCACCGTCCTGGGACAGTCGACCCTATGCTAAGCAGTCTGCAGTCTCCAGCAACCAGGTGCTAGCAGGGCTGAAGCTGCAGCCTGCAGGTGCACAGTCCTTCCAGCTGAGGCCACACCCGCAAGCGGGCGCCGCCCACTGCCTCCTCACCGGCCGCGCCGGCCGCTGGGGCATCGGAGACCCCACCAGCGGACATCAGGGCCCTTCCAGGCCTTCCCATTGACCTTCGACATCGATGTGCAGGTCCCAAGGCTTCAGGTAGGGATAGCAAAAGACTAAGAGATGTGTCGACACCGCAGCAGGCAGCCGAGACGAAGCCAAACCTCCCCAACTCCGACCCGCCTGAGGTCCAGAGACGCTGGACAGAGTGCTGCCCACCCGAACCCAGCCGAACCCGGTCCCGTCCCCTCACCTGGGCGAGCGCCGGAGCGGCCCGGATCCGTCCGGCCTCTCATCGGAGGACGCCAAGGACCTTGGGCAGCGGCAGGAGAGCCGAGCGTACGCGGCCTGCGGAGCTCTGCGCGCGCCCACACCTTTTAGCCCCGCCAACCGGTCTCGCCGCCGCAGGTCCAGCCCTCCGCCCAAGGTCCGACGCGGGCACAGGCCACTGACACAGAGGGAGGCGGACGAAGATGGGGGCGGGGGTCCGAGCTAGGGCCGGGCGGCTCTGCGACTGCGTCAACTGTTAACGTCCTACGTCAGGGCGCCTGCGCCTCCAGGCAAGCCGGCCCAGCCCTACCCAGGAGTCGGCTGGCCCCGCCCCGCCCCGCCCCGCCCCTCGCAGGGCTGGGGGCGGGGCTTAGACCGTGAGGCACGAATTGTGGTGGCACAAGCCGGGAAGAGTCTTTAACTCCGCAGTAGTTTTCTGGTTTCTTGAAACAGATGTGAAATATGCGCGTAAGACGAGTAGACCTGCAATTGCAAAAAGTGTTAAGTATGGACCAGGCGCTGTTCTAAGCACTTAATCCTCTCAAAATCCTGCGAAGTAAATACTCTTTTATTTTTTTGTTTTGTTTTTTTAATCCTCACCCAAGGATGTGTTTTCCATCGAGTGGAAAGGAAGGAGGAAGGAAGGGGGGGTGGGGGGAGAGAGAGAGACAGAGAGAGACAGAGAGAGAGAGAGAGAGAGAAACATCGATGTGTGAGAGAGACACATCAATCGGTTGCCTCCCGCACTCCCCCCTCCTGGGGCAGGGATCCAACCTGCATCCCAGGGACATGCCCTTGACTGGAATCAAACCCGAAAACCTTCAGTGTGCAAGCCGATACTGAGCAACACCAGCCAGGGCTGCACTAAACACTCTTATCCCCATTTCTTTACATTTCACAAATGAAAAACTGAGGTACAGCGAGGGTTATATCATATATAGAGGGGGGCTGGGTGGTATTATTATAAGGAATCAGTTTATGTGATTATGGAGGCTGGCAAGTCCGAAATCTACGAAGCTAATGTCCTGGTTTGAATCTATGGTATGGTAGAGTGATGTGGAACCAGAAAGAGCTAATTAAAAGCTTATCAGGCAGAGAGCTAATATTCCAGCTTGAAGGCTGTCAGGCAGGAAAATTCTTTTACTCAGGAGGGTCAGACTTTTGTTCAATTGTGCATTCAGCTAACTGGATGAGGCTCACCTACATCACGGAGGTAAACCTGCTTTACTCAGTCCACTAATTTAAATGTTAATCTCATCCAAAAACATTCTCACAGAAAAAAAACAGAATAATGTGTGACCACATATCTAGACACTCTGTGACCCAAAGAAGTTGACTCAAAAATGTACATTGATAACATCCAATTTTTTTTTAATATATCTTTATTGATTTCAGAGAGAGGAAGGGAGAGAGAGAAAGGGAGAGAGATAGAAACATCAATGATGAGAGAGTCATTGATGGGCTGCCTCCTGCAGGCCCCCAGCTGGGGATCAAGCCCGCAACCCAGGCATGTGCCCTGACTGGGAATCAAACCTCAATCTCCTAGGTTGACACTCAACCGCTGAACCACACCGGGCTGGGTTGATAATATCCAATTTTTGATAGGATAGTGGGAGAATATACTTAACATTCCTAAAGAAAATAATTTTGGAACCATGCACTTTATTACTTAAGTAGCCATTGTGACAGGTTGGAAGTGAAACCTCTTTGTAGTTTATTTCATGTTTTTATTGGTTTCAGAGAGAGAAAGGGAGAGGAAGAGATAGAAACATCAATGGTGAGAGAGAATCATCACTCAGCTGCCTCCTGCACGGCCCCTACTGGGGATAGAGCCCGCTACCTGGACATGTGCCCTGATGGGGAATTGAACCATGACCTCCTGGTTCATAGGTCGACGCTCAGCCACTGAGCCACGCCAGCAGGGCCTTTTGCCCATTTTTTAATCAGATTGTTTGTCTTCCTGGTGTTGAGTTGTATAAGTTCTTTATACATTTTGAAAATTAACCCCTTTTCATATGTGAATATGTTCTCCCATACCATGGGTTCTTTTTTCATTTTGTTGATGGTTTCTTTTGCTGTGCAGAAGCTTTTTAGTTTGATGTAGTCCCATTTGTTTATTTTCCTGTTTCCCATGCCCTCAGAGATGTATTGGCAAAAATATTGCTATGAAAGCCCTAGCTGTTTTGGTTCAGTGGTAAGAGCATCAGCCTGTGGACTGTAAGGGTCCCAGGTTTGATTCTGGCCTAACAGCACATACTTCAGTTGCAGGCTCGATCCGTGGCCCCAGTCGAGGCATGTGCTGGAGGCAACCAATCAATGTGTCTCTCTCGTGTCAATGTTTTTTTCTCTCTCCCCCTTTCACTCTCTCTGAAAAAGCAATGAAAAAAATATCCTCAGGTGAGGATTTAAAAAATTATATATATATATACACATACATATATATGTGTATATATATACATATGTATGTATATATATGTATATGTGTATATATATGTATATATCTATATTGCTGGAAGAGATGTCTGAGATTTTACTGCCTATGTTTTCTTTAGGATCTGTATGGTTTCTTGACCTACATTTAAGTCTTTTATCCATTTTGAGTTCAGTCTTGCACATGGTCTAGTTTCATTTTTTTGCATCTGCCTGTCGGATTTTCCCAGCACCATTTATTGATGAGACTGTCTTTACTCCATTGTATGCTCTTGCCTCCTTGTCAAATATTAATTGACCATAGAGACATGGGTTGATTTCTGGGCTCTCTGTTCTGTTCCATTGGTCTATACATCTGTTTTTATGCCAGTACCAGGCCGTTTTGATTACAATGGCCTTGATATCTGGTATTGTAATACCTCCAACTTTGTTCTTTTTTCTCAAGATTGCTGTGGCTATTCAGAGTCTATTGGTTCCATATAAATTTTTGTAATATCTTTCTAATTCTTTGAAATATCCCATTTTAATAGGAATTGCATTGAATCTATAGACTGCTTTGGGTAGTATGGGCATTTTAATGATGTTACTTCTTCCAATCCATGAACATGGCATATGCTTCCACTTATTCGTATCTTCCTTAATTTTTTTCTTCAATGTCATATAGTTTTCTGAGTACAGGTCTTTTACCTCCTTGGTTAAATTTATTTCTAGGTACCTTATTTTGTTGTTGTTGTTGCAATAGCAAATGGGGTTGGTTTCTTAGTTTCTCTTTCTCATAGTTCATTATTGGTGTATAAAAATGCCATTGATTTCTGGATATTAAATTTGTATCCTGCAAAGTTTCCAAATATTTATTAGATATAGTAGTTTTTTTGATGGCATCTTTGGGGTTTTCTATGCATAATATCATGTTATATGATAGTTTTATTTCCCCCTTTCCAACTTGGATGACTTTTATTTCTTCTTGTTGTCTGATCACTGTGGCTAGAATTTCTAGAACTATGTTGAATAAGAGTGGTGAAAGGGGATATCCCTGTCTTGTTCCTGATCTTAAGGGAAACGCTTTTAGTTTTTGCCCATTGAGTATGGTGTTGACTGTAGATTTTTCATATATGGCCTTTATTAGGTTGAGGTATTATCCCTCTGTTCCCACTTTGCTGAGAGTTTTTATTGGAAATGGGTACTGGAATTTGTTAAATGCTTTTTCTGCATCTATTGATTTTTTTGTGATCATGTGATTTTTGTGTTTCATTTTGTTTATGTCATGTATCACATTTATTAATTTGTTGATATTGTATCAGCCTTGTATCCCTGGAATAAATCCCACTTGATCATGGTGTATGATATTTATATAATGCATTGCTGGATCTGATTTGCTAATATTTTGTTGAGGATTTTAGCACCTATGTTCATCAGGGATATTGACCTATAATTTTCTTACTTTGTAGTGTTTTATCTGGTTTTGGTATTAGGATAATGCTGGCTTCATAAAAAGACCTTGGAATTGTTCCCTCCTCTTGAATTTTTTGGAATCGCTTGAGGAGGATAGGTGTTAATTTTTCTATGAATGTTTGGTAAAATTCACTGGTGAAATCATCCAGTCCAGGACTTTCGACTGCTGCAAGTCTTTTTATTACTGCTTCGATTTCATTAGTTGTTGTTATTGGTCTATTCAGATGTTCTGCTTCTTCCTGATTCAGTTTTTGAAGATTGTATATTTCTAGGAATTTCTCCATTTTTCCCAGGTTGCCTATTTTGTTGCATATGGTTGTTTGTAATATTTCAATCGTTTGTACTTCTGTGATGTCTGTTGTTACCTGTCCTCTTTCATTTCTGATTATACATATTTGGGTCTACTCTCTTTGTTTCTTGATGGGCCGGGTTAAAGGTTCATCAGTCTTAAAGGTTTATCCTTTCAAAGAACCAGCTTTAGGTTTCATTGACCTTTTTGTTGTTGTTTTTGGTTTCTATGTCATTTATTTCTGCTCTGATCTCTATCATTTCCTTCCTTCTACTTACTCTGGGCTATTCCTGCTATTCTCTTTCCTATTCTTTTAGGTGTAGGGTTAGATTGCCTACTAGAGATTTTTCTTACTTCTTGATGTAGGCCTGTAAAACTATGAACGTCCCTCTCAGGACTGCTTCCACTGTGCCCATAGATTGGGTCGTTGAATGTTCATTTTAGTTTGTTTCCAGATAATTTTTTATTTCTCTCTTGCCCATTGAGTATGATGTTGATCTCATTGGTAATCCTTCATTGTTTAATTACATGCTATTTAGCTTCCATGTGTTTTAATATTTTTGAGGGTTTTTTTTGTCATGGTTGATTTCTAGTTTCATACCATTGTGGTTGGAAAAGATGCTCTATATGATTTCAATCTTCTTAAATTTATTGAGAATTCTTTTGTTTCCTAACATGTGGTCTGTCTTTGAGAATGTTCCATGTGCACTTGAGAAGAAAGTATATTCTGCTGCTTTGGGATGAAATGTTCTATAACTATCAATTAAATCCATCTGATCTAGTGTGTCATTTAAGGTCTCTGTTTCCTTGTTGATATTTTGTCTGGAAGATCTATCCACTGATGACAGTGGGGTGTTAAAGTCCCCTACAATGACTATATTCCTGTCAATCTCTCTCTTAAAGTCCACCAAAAATAATTTCATATATGTAGGTGTTCCTAGATTGGATGCATATATGTTTAGAAAGGTTATATCCTCTTGTTGGATCAATCCCTTTAATATTATGTAGTGACTTTCTTTGTCTCTTGGTATGGCCTTTGTTTTGAAGTCTATTTTGTTATATATAAGTATTGCCACCCTAGCTTTTTTTTTTTTTTTTTTTTTTGCATGGAATATTTTTTTCTATCCCTTCACTTTCAGCCTATGAGTATCTTTTGTTCTGAGGTGAGTCTCTTGTAGACAACATATACATATATATGGGTTGTGTTTTCTCATCCATTTGGCTACTCTATGTCTTTCGATTGGATTATTTAATCCATTTACATTTAAGCTTACTGATAGGTGCTTATTTATTACCATTTTTTTCTTTATGCCTATGTTCCTTTCTCTCTCTCTATTTCTTCTTCTTCCCAAAGCAGTCACTTTAGCATTTCTCGCAATCCTGGTTTGATAGTAATGTAACCCTTTAGTCTTCTTTTGTCTGGGAAGCTCTTTATTTTGCCTCTGATTTTAAATGATAGCCTTGCTTGATTAGAACAGTCTTGGTTGCAGGTTCTTGCTTTTCATTATTTTGAATACTTCATGCCAATCTCTTCTGGCCTGAAGTGTTTCTGTTGAGAGATCAGCTGACAGCCTTATGGGAACTCATTTGTAGGTAACTATTTCTCTCTTGCTGCCTTTAAGATTCTCTCTTTGTGTTTGATCTTGGCCATTGTAATTATGTGTCTTGGTGTGAGTCTATTTGTGTTTATCTTGTTTGGGACTCTCTCTGCTTCCTGAACTTGTGTGATATTTTCCCTTACCAGGCTAATGAAGTTTTCTGTCATTATTTCTTCAAACAAGTTCTCTATCCCTTATTCACTTTCTTCTTTTTCTGGTATCCCTATGATGTGGATGTTGTTACATTTCATGTTGTCCCAAAATTCCCTTACAGTATCCTGCTTTTTAATTATTTTGCCCTTTTTCTGTTCTGATTGAGTGATTTTTTTCTATTTTGTCTCCTTATTCACTGATAAACTCTCTGCCTCATCCAGTCAACTGGCAATTCCTTCCAGTGTATTCTGCATTTAAAATATGGCATTCTTCATTTCTAATTATTTTTCATGGTTTTATATCCTTCTTTATATTGTTGCTTTCACTAAGCTCCTTGCTCATCCTTATAATCATTACTTTGAAGTCTCTATCTGATAAAATGCTTGCATTCATTTCATTTAGTTCTTTTTCTGAAGATTCCTCCTATTCTTTCATTTGGGGCCTGTTTCCCCCATTTTGGCTATCTCTTTATGGTCATTTCTATGTTTTAGAAAGTACTATTATTTTGGTGGGATGACCTTCTGTTGTAGGTGTCGCAGTCTCCTTGATCGTCTGAGCTGGGTGCTCTAGGAATGTCTCTTGTGTGGGTTGTTTGGGCCCTCCTGTTGTAATGGGGTCTTGGTTGCTGATGGCCCCTTTGTGATTGGGATCGCCCCTCAGGCTGATTGAGTATGAAGCTCAACCCAGACCATGGTGTGCAATCTGCTTTGTAGGTGCAGTCTCAAGGTGTCTTGATGGCTCGGTGGCACAGTTTGTTAACCCTTCAGGCTAGGTGTCTATAGAGGTAAACCTTTATTACCATTTATTACCATTGTGTCTGTGTCTGTTAGACCTGTGTGTTCATAGGAGGGATCAATCTGTGTAAATGGGTCAGTTTCTTCTAGCAGTTAATGGCAGGTAGTCGTGTTCTAGGCTAGAATTGTCCTTGACAAAAGCCAATCTTCACCTTTATTGAGCCTGCCTATTGTCTTTTTGCATCTCTATAACATACCTTTGGAATTTCAAGCCCACGCCAGGGCAGAGACCACAACTACCCTCATTTTTATTGAGTTCATTGTTAACTATCCTGTACCCCCCTATGTAAATGAAGTATGTGTCTTATCATTTTACTTTTTATCCAGTCCTACTCTATCACCTGCCTACTCTATCACCAATGGATTTCCAGTAACCCACTTACGCCTCCTCTTTTGATTGCAATGTATAAAATAAAGTGCAAAACTGCCATTTCTCAAAGCATTTTCTCAACCTGTTGAGATTTTGTTTCCCAGCAATTGTCGTCAGTTCGGCTCAGATAAACTCACAAAAATTCCCTACAGGTTTGTATGTTTCTTACATTGCTGCTACACACTCACAATAGGAACTGTCTGTGGATTCTTAAACCTGCAAAATACATTTGCGGTAAACCCCTTCATGGATGTTCACTAGCTTTTATCTACTACTCTGCCTTGGTTAAATAAAATCAACCCGCAGGGACAATGGGAGGAACTTTGTTAGCCAAACCTCCAGCTTCCACATGTCCAGAAACTTCATTTTTTTGTTGTGTTCTTCTGATGAGCACAGGCCTTAAAAAAGATAAGCACCCCTAAGCTTGTTTTCTGAAACATCCTCTTTATTTATTTGAATCCATTTTGAAACTGAAAGCTCCAAGAGACTGTACACGTATCTCGTTCACTGAACTGGCCCCAGCGCCAGCCTGGGCCCAGGGCAGGTTTGGGGGCTTCCCTCTTGCGTGTCGGCTGCATCTGGGGTTGAGGTCCTGCTCCTGCGGCCACAGGGCGATGCGCGGCCCTTGAGAGGGGGCGCGGGAAACGGGGCCTCGGCGGGCTCTGCCCGGAGGGGCCGCGCTCAGGAGCCCTCCCTCCCAGAAGGAGCAAACACAAGCCACAGCTTAGGGCACGGCAAAGACTTTTCTCCCCAGTTCCTCCCAAAACCAAAACATACTACAGCATAGCCTGGGTCCCACCAGCGCTCAGGGCGGGAACGCCACGGGCCGCGCAGCCGCAGTGTGGAAGGCCGGGCCCGCCCATGACGTCACACGTATCCCCTACTCTTTCAGGGGGCGGTGGCCGCGCCGGAGGCTTTGTTACGCAGGCGCGTTCGCGCGGCGGAGGTGGAGCTAGAGGCCGCCTGGGGATTTTAGGGAGAGACGGCGCTGCCGCCATTTTGTAGGTTTTTTTGTCGCAGCGGCTGGAGAGAGAAGACGGCGCTTTGGCTTCATTTTTCGGCAAAGGGCCTTTTGCTTTGGCAGAGGTAAGGTTTCGGGCGGGGTGCGCTGGGCTGAGCGGCTTTCCATTCTTTTTAGGTCTCGAAGTCAGGTGTCGGAGAAACGACTGGGTTGGGGCCTCGGCGACTGTCGTTTCTTCGGGACACAACTCTGCTGGGTGGCTTTAAAATCGAAGGGTGCGCAGGTGCTCTGGTGGATTTAAAGTCCTGGGGCGGAAAGAGCGCGGTTCTGCCGCTGACTCTTCCCTGAGGGGCCCTGCGGGTCGCTTGGCGGCTCGGGAAGCTCAGGTTCCTCCCGCCCTGCCGATGAGACTTGAGAAGACCGATCGGGGGACCCTCGGAAAGCCGCCTTTCGGGTTTGTGTTGTCGGAGATCCAGCCCTTCCCTGGATGCCTGGCGTCGGCCGATGGGAACACTTGGAGGTTTTTCCAGAGTCAAACATCTGGTCCCCTCAATGTGCCGGAGGCCCCGGCCAGGTGCGCTGCAGTGGGCGCCGGGCGTCCGAGGAACCGCGAGCCCCTGTACTGGTATTTAGCTCGTGTTTTTGAGAGAGAGAGAGAGAGAGAGAAATACGGAGAGCTTTGTCCTTCGTGCAACACTGTTTTTCCCCCAAGGTGGAGCATACCATTGTTGTAGCAGGTCTGCATTTCTGACACGTTGCATTATCTTTTTTTCCTGGATTAGCCGCGATGTGCTTATCCGGTGCTTTGGAAATAGCCCCCCGAACGGACTGGGCCAGCCTCCTGGCTTTAAAACTGCCCCTGTGTGATTGTGCTCCTGTTTACACCCACAGGCTGCTTCTGAGAGTTAAATGCAGCCCTCCTGGAGGGCTTTAACCTCTAATCATAGCGTTAACCTTTTTAGATATTTTAAACCCATATACAGAACATAAAATTGTCGGGCATTATAGGGCAGTGAAGAATCAGAATTCTAATACAGTTATAGACATATGGATCCTTTGTGTTTGATGGTTTGTTGTTTTTTTAAGATATCTTGATTCTAGCACTTAGTATTCTTTATTAATTAGAGGTAGTTTAATGATTCTAGGTAGTTTTTCTTTTTTGTGTACTGAGAGGAGCCTTAGCCATAGAATGTGGACCCAGGATTCTTCTCTTCACCTCCTGGAAAATATTTCAGAACTTTATTGGCCGGGGTGGGGGACACTTCTTAACAGCTGAATTCAATTTGAAGTAGTGAACTTGATTAGAGAAATAAAAATCTTTGGCTCTCCTAAGATGTTTATTTGAATTTTAGTATTTGCATATTGATAACTTTGGTTATTGAGAAGTCTGCCTTGTTAGAGGTGAGCTGGTTGTGGCAGACTGACAGTGGAAGGAAAAAAAATTAAAGCAGACATAAGTTTTCAACTACTGCGTAATAATGGATGGGGTCATCATAATAACTTAGTCATCAGGTATTGTAATTTTGCTTGATGTTACTTAAGAGTGCTTGACCAAGCTGTTTTAAAGAGCCTCCCATGTTTGAGAAAAAGAAACTTCACTGATGGCTGTATACTTTTTAGCAGAATCATCTTTATTTAGTATCCGTAAGTGTTTCTCAGACTTCAGCTGTTTGTATTGCAGTATTTTGCCAAAGCCGCATGACACTTATGTAACAGTATTTCCCTTTTGATTAGTTCACATTTTAATGTTAACATATTTAAAAGAAATCATATCAACAATTTAATTAGCAGATCGGCAGTAATTTACCATAAAAAGAAGGTAATGATACAAGTAAATTAAAACCAAAAACAGTTTTTAATTTCTGGCTAGATGTTGTTGCAGGCTCTAAGACTCAACCTTCGCCCTTTTTATATTTTTTTAAATATTACCTAGCAAGTGTTAGTTGAGGACAAACACCAACCTGAGAGTTTTGGGGTTTTTTTAATTCTCACCTGAAGAAATTTTTTCCTGTTGATTTTTTTTTTTTCTTACGAGAAAATGAAAGGGAAGAGAGAGAAACATCCATTGGTTGCCTCCTGCATGGGCCCCAACCAGGGCCAGGGATGGAACCTACAGCCCAGGTAGGTGCCCTTGACAGAGAATCAAACCCATGACCCTTCATTCTGAGGGACAGTGCTCTAACCACTGAGCCAAGCCCACCAAGGTCGAACTGAGAATTTTTATCCAGAAGAATTGAAAGAAAATATATTAAGGTCTCACAGTGTAATTCATTATTTAGTCCTAGATCTGTATGCATGCCACTTAAAATCATCTGACATATCAGTGGAATAGTGCCCATGCCTTGGGAAACTGCCTGCAAAAGATTTTAGAACCTGTATGACCCACGTTCTGAGCGTTTATGTCTACATGATATTAATGTATACTATTTTGTTTGCTAAACATAACCGTCCACAACTCACTTTTTGTTCCCATTAGCAGATGCGGCACTCCAAAAGAACTCACTGCCCTCATTGGGATGGTAGAGAAAGCTGGGGCCATGAAAGCTACAGTGGCAGCCACAAACGGAAGAGGAGATCCCACAGTAGTACACAAGAGAACAGACATTGTAAACCACATCACCAGTTTAAAGAATCTGATTGGTAAATTGAACTAGTAGCATTTTAACACTAATAGTTTTAATGATTTATTATTGACTTACGTAGTTTTCATCTGTCAAATTATTTTGTAATTCAGTCAGTAAATATTCAGAAACTATTGAATGCCTATTGTAGGCTAGACACTATATAAGTGCTGAGGCTACAGCTGTGAATAAAACAGTTTCTACCCTTATATCTGTGTATGTCTCTCTGGGAATGGTGGGAACAGTTAAGTCCAGGCTGCCAGTAATGTAGGGAGATAAGACACAAAAAGTTAATAGTGATGATACGACACTCAGTCAATGCCTTAAACTTGTATATAGGAAGGAGATGTGTATGTTAGGTTGTACCTTTAGTGTTCCATGGATGAGAGAATGAGGGGCAGGGAGAGTATAACTCCAGATGAGAAAAACAGTATGTACTATTTGGGTATGTTAAAGTGCATTGGGGATTTGTCACTTAGACTATGTTCTACAGGTTATTTTTGTACATAAGGCCAGTGGATATGTTTGGGATTTTTAGAAGTGTGGTTATTATAAAAACCATTCCTTTGTGTAGGTAGTATCCAGTAATTTAGGAAAGGGCCTCAATAGAAGTTTCCAGTAACATGTGTTTTGTTTTATTGTATTTCTACGGGTGTAAAATTTGGAAGTAATATATTCATATAGAATTAAAGGAATTTTAAAGTTTCTAAACGTTTAAAGAAAGGCTAGGTGAATAGAGTTTCTATCATCCTGTCTTCCATTAATTTTCTTTTCTCATTTGTTTTGTTGGTCCTATGTTTTCTCCTTGTTTTGTGCAGATGTTCCATTGGGACTGTTTACCAGATTGCTTTCTAAATTAGCCAGCTGGGGTTACTTTAAAAAACAGTATGTAATTTTTTTCCTTCTCCGTCCTAAAACAGACTTGTTCTGTAGAACAGCAGGCTTGTTGGTAGTCAGTACAGACTGATCATTCTTCATCACACACTGTTACACTGTTGTTTGGGAGGAAGAGGGTGGGTTTGTGACAGGATTTCAATGACCTGAGCTAATGTACTATAGAAAAACACCTGTACCCTATTACTAATAAAATACAGAATACTGTGTAAGGCTTATCATAATACTACTAATCACTCAGGTTTACTGTACATTGTGTACATAGAAAGCAAGTAATTTCATAACATACAGTTCATTCACGTTCATAATGAGCTACATAAACGTGATACTAAGTCCAATTAACCACCAGGGCATAGCTGCTGCTGCTTTGACATTGGCACCAGAGAGATCTGGTGGTAATTACTCTCCATAACCTGGAATATCCTAATAGTCTTATTAAAGACTAAAAATTTTAAAAGTGTTTTTTATATCTTTTTAAAATGCAGAAAAGGATAAAGAAGGAACTTTGGAGGATGCTAGTCTCCCATTGTTTGGATATAAATTATTTCTAATAATTTGTCCTTAAAATATCTTTATATAGAAATCTTTGCCTCTGATTATTTTCTGAAAATAGATTCTAAGAAGGGACATTTTCAAAGGGTATATATAAACTCTTGCTGCATATTAACATCTTCTAGAAAGTTTGTATCAACTTATACTCCTACAACATGCTTCTTTCCCCTCACCACTCTTGGCTATTTTGAAATGCCAAAAGTGGAGTTCTGTTTGAATTTTTAAATTTCTAGTGAATTTGTCCACTGTCATATTTATTAACCACTTGAACATTATTTTTTGTATTAGCATATTTTTTCTATTAAAGTGTATTTTTCTTACTGATTTATGAAGACTTATTGTATATCGATTATTTTGCCTTTTTTATATATTGTAAAGTGTCTTTTCTTTTATATATTGTAAAGATTTGTCTTTTGGCAGTAGCCTGTGAATTGGTATCCCCTCCTACAGGTTTAAATCGGTCAGTTTTGCACAGTATGTTAGGAAGATTGATGCAGTTGTAATCACCACCTTTATGTATTGTGGTAAAAAATCCTTAAATGTCTTCCTAACATAGAGTATCAATGAGTCTCAAACTTTAGTGTGAATAAAATCACCTTGGAGGTATATTTAAAATGCAAGTTATAAGATTTAGATTGAGTCTGACCTGGGCCCAGTGATCTTCATTTTTAATAAGTCCATATTTTGATATTGCTGATAAACCAACTACCCTTTAAGAAACACTATTTTAAAGTCCTTAGCCTGACATACAAGATTTTTGGATAGTCTGTTCCCAGTTTATTTATTTGCCTATGTTTCCTTATGTGAAAATTGCTCTTGCCAGAATTGTATACTTACTGTTTCTCGAGGAATGCATAGACAAACCCGTCTCTAAGCCATTATGGCTAAAAGTGCTCTGTGTATAAAATGGTAATGTGCTCTTCTTTTCCCCTGACATTTCTACTTGCCACCTTGTCCAAACCCTGACTTCCCTTTAAGATGTAACTCTCCTTTTTCATGAAGTCTTCCCTGACCATTTTCAGAAGTTTGAGTGCTTTCCCTTCTATGACCCTCAGCACTCATATGCAACTTCTCAGCATTTCCTGCATTGCTGAGCTTTATTTTTATGTGAGTGATACCAAATTGTCCGTTTGTTGGCAGGGATTTTGCCATATATGTATATATTCTACAGGACCTGTGTGAAAATAAAAACAAATATCCATAGCCTCATTAGTCTTGGCTATTTTGAAGGACTGGAGTGAAAAATTCACTGGACTTTTAGTGACTATTTTTAGAAATTAAGTCTTTTTATCCTGTTTACTCAGTCCATATCCTTTATAATTCTATACACTTTGTTTATATAATCTCTAAGACTTGGTTACAGATTGAAGAAGTCCTCATCTTTTTAGTTTATTCTCATGGTATTACTTCACCGCATGTTTGTTATTCTATAGATTGTTTATGGATTATCAGCAGCTCTAATTTCATGCATTATTCCAGTTAAAGATTATTCGTGTGCTTTTTTCATAGAAAGATTTTGGACTTTTATGGGGAGGATTCATGCCTTTAAGAGTATGGTAAATTCTAGTTTGATATCTCTGACAGGTCCAAGCCAACTGATTAGATCCCTGACCTAGACCCACAGTCTTACCCTAATATCCTGAGTTGTTTCTCCAATGGATAGAACTTAAGATTGACACTAGGGAAAGGGAAAAGGGGGTTTCTGCATCTCCGCAGCCGTATTTGATGCCAGTTCTGTTGAGTAGCAGTTTTAGAGATGTTTCTCTTTCTGCCTGAACCAGCCCCCTGGGGAAAGAATGGCATCATATTCTGGGGAAAAGAGGGGTTGGTAAGGGCAATCTAGTCAACATCTGTTGCTCCATTGCTTGTCAGGACTATTTTAGCTGATTTGTCTGACTGGGCAGGTGTCCCCTCTCTCCCTCAGTGCTCCATGTGCATCCTCTTGAAGCTTCGCACTCTGTTGAAGAGGACACTAAACCCAGGTAGAGAGGGGGGGCGGGAAACTGGGCCAATTGAATCTATGTCCTTTCCATCTTATCAAGGCTACTTAACTGGGATACATTGACTTCCTGAGGTCTATGATCTCTGAAATTCCTTACCAAGTTTTGTTTATGCATTGGTGCATTTCTTGGTGCAGTAGGGTCCATATCTTTCATCAGATTTTCAAAAGGATCTGTAGATTCAGCAGTTAGCCACTGTGGCACTAAGTGATGCTGTTTTCTATGTAGAATTCTTGTGTATTTTGCAACAAGCAGAGAGAACAGGATATTAGAAATGCAAAGGTAGTAGGGTGGTGGGTCTCTTGTAATCCTAGGCAAGCAATTACAAGATCCCTTTCTCATTTTAGGGGAATATACTTGAGATGTCTTTGGCACATGTAGCAACCTTCAAAAGCTATTTGTCAATTTTTTCAGAGGAATAACAGGAAGCTAGAAATGCAAAGAGGAGAGGACATGGGATAGGTGATGTGTGTAATAAAATTGGTCCATCTAATCAGTTGGAATGTGTTCTACAAATCTTGCAAATCATTTTTCTTCTAGGGATCTTAATCATTTGTAAAATGAAAGGCCTGCAATACATTTAAGATTCCTTCTGGAGCTAATATACTACCTTTTATGAAAGAATTCTCTGTGTGCCAGAAGTGTATAAAAATCACATTAAAAGAGAAAGGAATCCTGTTTTGCCTGCCTCTAAACTGTTTGTGGCTCTGTGAGGAAAGAAAGCCTAGTTGCAGATTCATATGTCAAAACTGCTGCAGTTTTAGGAATTTTTGGTTTTAACTTTCTCTAGAAGGCAAAAAGAGACTCTTACCAAGTAAACACTGAACATAATGGAATGATTTGGCTCAAGCTTTGTTCCTTGATGTGAGGTGCCTGACAGAAGTCTATATAATAGAGAAATACGAACCCATTTTCTCATTGGTTAAAGTAAAATTATTTAAGTTTTATGATAACTATAAATTCTAATTCATCAATTTGAATTTTTTTTCTTTTATTGAGTTAGCTGTTTAAACCAGGAATTCTTGAGAAAATGTTTTGTTTTAGCCACATTACTCTAGAATGAAAAGAATAATTTGAAATCTTTTAATGTGTTTGCAGTCATTATTTAGAAGCAAGGTCCTTGAATGAGAGAGATTATCGGGACAGGAGATACATTGATGAATACAGAAATGACTACTGCGAAAGATACGTTCCTAGTCATTATCACAGAGATGTTGAAAGCAGTTACCGAATCCACTGCAGTAAATCTTCAGTCCGGAGCAGGAGAAGCAGTCCTAAAAGGAAGCATAATAGACACTGTCCAAGTCATCAGTCACGTTCGGTATGAGTGATTTTGTTACTTGGGGTGGATACTTATTGTGTGGAAAGCTCTTAATGAGCCAATAAGTTTGGAAAATTTATATAATACTAATTATGTATACTGTGTTTATATTACTTGAATCCTTAAAGGAAACTTCCAAATTCTCATAGCTAATCTGTATTTATTAGCTAGTCCTCATTTGCCCATATTTACTTATTTCCCATAGACCACATCATGGAGTTTCTTGATTTTAATATTAAAAATGTTCCATTTTTATGTTTTATAATATAATCTTATGAAATAATGAACCCCCATCTTTAATTTTGAACTTTTTTTTTTTTTTTTTTTT